TTCTATCCTCCTTGGTCATTGTCCAACTCTCTGATGCATAACAAGTGATTGCAAAGACCATGGCCTGTATCAGACGCACCTTAGTCTCCAAAGTACTGAATATTTGAGAAGAACACTAAATATCCCACAGACTGCACAAAGAACAAACAATTCTGTCTTGATGAAAGGGCAACCAAGATGTGTCTTAGAGGCAATCATGGTGAAACTGTCTCACATACTATCGGCATGTTGTGAAGGAGGGGCCAGTCCGTGAAAAAAGAATCTTTCTGGGAATGGTGATGGGAAAGAGAGAAAGGGGAGGAAGAGCCTTCCTTAAAGTGAAAGAGTCACTTGTGCTTGAATATGGCGGAGGTCCTAAGGATGTAATGTAACTGGATAGGGAAAGTTAGATCTGTTGTTCATAGGGTTGCTGAGTCAAAATGGAATGGAGAGCACGTGTCAAAAACCACCACCTCCTGTGTAATACAGGTAGTACAACTTGCTGAAAATGAAGGCAACTTGAAGCACTTGCTAAAACACGTCAAGACTGCAGCCTTCAGAATAGATTACACCTCAACATCAAGAAAACAAAATTCCTTACCACTGGGCCAAGTGCACACATCATCGTAAGTAGAGAAAGGTTGACATTTTGAAAGATTTCATTTACTTGGATCCACAATCAACCTCCATGGTAGAAGCAGTCAGGAAATTACAAAAACCTGTTGCTTTGGGAAAATTGACTTTCTAGTTAAAGTGGAAAAATATCACTTGCAAGCCTTGGGAAAACCGTCTTTGAAGTTAAAAGAGCAGAGGTATCAGTTTAAAGTGTGCCTGACCCAAGCCATGATATTTCCAGGGTTTTTTTTTTCTCCATACATCTGAAAGATAGACATTTAATAAAGAAGGTGGAAGAAGAATCGATGTCTTTGAATTATTGTGTTGGTGATACATATTGAACGAATTGCTAGAAGAGCAAACAAATCTTTCTTAGAAGAGTTTCAACCAGGTTAGAGGCAAAAATGGTGAAACTCTGTCTAATCTCCTTCTGGACATGTTGTCAGAAGTGTCCAGTCATTGGAAAAAAACATGATAACGGGAAAAGGAGAGTATCGCTAAAAGAAAGGAAGATCCCTGACAAAGTGGATTGACACTATAACTGTAACAATGATGGAGGACAGAGATGGTGAGGAGGGCCCCAGATAGGACCGAGTTCTGATCTTTTACGTGCAGGGTCACTGTAAGTTGTAGTTACCTTGAATATGTCTAACAACACCGTTATCAACATACCAGAAATAATATAACAAAGATTGGAATCATGGAGAAAAAACTTTTTAAAAGTTTAAATACTTCTCTATTTCGTATAGGATTATTACTGAAAAGTTAAACAGTACACCAGATAGCTCAAAGTTCAAAACCACGTAGAATGTTAAGTGTTGCATTGCAAATCCAAACATCGGTAATTTGAAAACACTATCAACTCCAAATGGGAAAAATAATGTAGTCTCTTCTCTAGTTAAATTTACAGTCCCATGGAGGATATATGGGAAGAAGAACTGACTGGACAGCAGTGCATCTTGTCTGAGTTTCTTTTGTGCACAGATAACGGTTCCAGAATGAACTTCAAAAGGAATAGTATAGAGAATAACTCTGCATACAACGCAGTGCATTTATGGGAATAGAGTCAAACCTGTATTTTAGGTGAATCATCTAAAAAGAGAAGCTTGTGCAACTGAATCCTCATGTGAAAGTCAATAAAGCAGTATCTGGCACTTTTTCTTTTCATGTGTCATAGAGTGAAGAGAACATCTCAGGGATGACCAGTTTCCGTGAAGTTCTGGAGAAAATGTTGGTTATTGTCGTGTTACCCGTCAGAAACAGCCTGAGAAGAGAAAATGAGCTCTTCTCCTCCCACCTGGTCTATAACACCTGCGGACTGCTTGCCAGTATCGTCAGTGAACTCACAGCATCAGCACTGGGATCTGAGGTAATGCATGCTTTCTCTTGAGACTGGATAGCCAGCACTTGTCGCATTTCCACATACTTTTGGTTTTCTTAGTATTTTGTAAAAATTCAATTTAAATACAACTAGGTCAGTGTGATTCCCTGTAATTTTTTTCTCTGAAAATAAAGTATCGTAAAGCTAGACTTTGTTTTGCCTTCCTCTGGCCTTTGCTCTGCTCTTATTTGCTTCCTCTCCCTCACTGTGTTGCTAGAACATCACAGTAATAAAAAAATACGCCTTTTCCTCTGAGCAGAGTAGGTGCTCTGTGGTCCCATTGCACAACCCCACAGCTTTGATCCAATAAACATTAAACTAGTTTACATTGTTATAATAGTAGACATTCTGTTGTTGTTGTTGTTGTTATGTGCCGTTGAGTCACTTGCGACTCATAGCGGCCCTGTGTACAACAGCCCTAAACTCTGCTCTGTCCTGTGCCAGTCGCGCTGTCTCTGACACGCCCATCCCGATTACCCCAGTCACTGAATCAATCCACCTCGTAGAGGGCCTTCCCCTCCTGCGCTGTCCCTCCACCCTTCCAAGCATGATGTCCCTTTCCAAGGACCAGTCTCCCCTTAGAACATGTCCAAAATATGTTAGACAGAGCCTCAGAATCCTTGCCTACAAGGAGCCTCCCGGTTTAACCCTTTCCAGGATGAATCTGTTTGTTTTCCTAGCAGTCCATGGAACCCTCAATACTCTTCTCCAGCACCACAGCTCAAAGGCATCAATTCTCCTTTTGTCCTCCTTAGTCATTGTCCAGCTCTCTGACGCATAACAAGTGATAGCAAAGACCATGGCCTGTATCAGACGCACGTTAGTCTCCAGAGAGACACCATTGCTCTTCAGTATTTTGGAGAGTTCCCTAACAGCAGAGTTTCCCATGGCAATACATCTTTTAATTTCCTGGCTACTGGTGCCAAGAGTGTTGACTGTGGAGCCAAGCAAACTAAAGCTGTGAACAGTCTCAATCTCTTCACCATCCATCCTGATGCTGCCAGTTGGCCCAGTGGTGAGAATCTTTGTCGTCTTGACATTGAGCCTCAATCCATATTGAAGGCTGCAGTCCTTGACCCTCTGCAGCAGGCGCTTCAGGTCCTCTTCAGTTCAGCAAGCAGGGTTGTGTCATCCGCATAACGCAGATTGTTGATAGATCTTCCACCAATCTTGACCCCACATTTCTCCTCATAGAGCCCAGCCTCCCAGATAATCTGTTCTGCGCATAGGTTGAAACGGTATGGAGACAGGACGCATACCTGGCATACGACCTTCCCAGTTTTGAACCATGCAGTGTTTCCTTGCTCTGTTCTAACAACTGCCTCTTGGTCCAAGTATGGGTTTCTCATTGGGATGATCGAGTGTTCTGGGATTCCCATTCTTCTCAGAGTCAGCCACAGTTGGTTATGATCTACACAGTCAAACACCTTTCCTTAGTCAATGAAACACAGATATACATTCTTCTGGTATTTCCTGCTTTCAGCCAAGATCCATCAAACATTACCTACAATATTATTTAGCTACATACTATTACTATGGCAATATTTAGAGATTTTGTTGTATACCATCAAGTTGGAACCAACTCAGAGACCGGAAATCATATGGGGTTTAATGCCCATCTTTCTGCCCTAGAACAACTAGTGGATTCAAACTAGATACCTTTGTGTTGGCATTGCAGTTTCTTATAACTAAGCCACCAGAGCTCTACTGAAAATTACAAAACTGCTCTGATGACATAATTCATAGGGAGCTGCAGTGCTAACCCAAAGTCCGAGCCTCTGAGAGTTCGAATCTGTAGTAGCCCCTTGGAAAGCAAATGAGCAGGGTCTGCCTGTGCGTTTTATCGGCTCAGTGGAGGGCCAGATGTGAACGAGCTCCATCTTAATGGTAGTGAGTTTGAGTTTTGGATCTTTTGGTTTTGTTATGGGATTATTATAAAAAAAATTGGAAAGATAGGGGTTCAGATCTTAGCTTTGCCTACTTGATTGATGCTAGAAAAATACAAAAATATATTTTTGAAATCGGAAAAATTACTTTTATCCAATTAACATTTTTAAAACGTTCATTACGAAGTATTTTAAGTGTATTTCCATTTTCCAAAAGAATATTGTTTTTTATTTTACCTTTTTGTAATTTATCTAAATATGTGAACTGAATTTGTTGAATATTTTATTCCCCCCCCCCACAAAGAACACAAGCAATTTGATTTCATAGGCATTTTTAAATGCAACATGACTCATATTCTGTCCCTGACTCTTCAAGTTTTCACCAGAGGACTTCTGTACTCTATTGTGCTCTTAAAATCCTTGGTCCCTGTTACTCTATGAGAAGTTTTTGTTATTTTTTATTGTTCTGATTTTTAATATAGAGCCTCTTCTAAATTAACCCATGCAGTTTGCCTTCGTTACAGGGAGAGTTAACATAGATCCTCGTCAGAAATTTAATATCTAGTTGCCCCACAGAACTTGTCATTCTAACGAAAAAGAAATGTTTAAACCTATAGGATGACTTAACAATTACCTTGAGAATGCCTGAATTATTTGGCTTTTTATCCATATTTCTTACTATAATTATAAATGTCTATTTTTCCCCTGTGAGTCTCCTAAATTTCTGTGGCCATCTTAGGTGAGAGGTGAGCTCCATAAACAAAACTGTTTCTAACTAGAGCAAGTTCTCTGATCCTCTAAAAGAGGTCCAGAATTAGTAAAGTTGTGTGTGTATCTCTAAGGACTGTATGCCCTGTTGTTATAATATCACTTTGTATATTAACAATGCTCAAACATAAGATAAAGTATATCCTCTGCAAATAAAGCATACTTATAATCTTAGAAACTGGAAAAGAGATAGTCTTGCTAAAGAAGATTATCTTGAGTTTGTCTCTCCTGTGGGTTCCTATCTCCACAGAATCATCTAGAATTTTGTGTAGCATAGTTTGAAAACTACTCAACTATAATTTGTTTAGAGCATCTTTTTAAAAAAAAAATAATAATGGTAATTCATTTATTTGACTATGAGAACTTGGGTGTTTATATTAAGACAGATTCTCTATGCCATTATAAACTTAATAAATCTACACATTAAAAATTATTATAGTTTTTGTTTATACTTGTTTTTAATATGACTGAAAGAAAATACTGTCAATGAGCTAGCTTTATAGACTTAATTTGATCTGTCTTTTGGTTTAATCCCTTGATGGACTATACCTATAGGGAGTTTTAAACCAACATATTATGAAATGTAGGTAGTTTTATTGTACTTTTTGAAATGTTGTTCTTAGGTGCTGTCGAGTTGACCACACACTCATAGCAACCCTATGAACAGAGATCTGAACCTTGCCCTACTCTGCACCATATGCACAGCCTCTGAGCCCATTGTTATAGTCACAGTGTCTCTATATTTGGTTGGGGTCTTTCTCCCTTCTTCTGATCCTTCACCTTTCCCAGCATGCTGTCTTTCTCTCACCTAAGTTCCAAAACTGGTATCATTTTGTTAAATATGTATTGTTAATACTCAGTAACTTACTACTAATATAATGCTTTTTTTCCTAGGTTGACGGACTTAATTCCCTTCACTCTGTAAAAGCCAGTGCTAACCGATTCACAAAAACAAGTCAGGGAAGAAGTTGGAACACTGGGAATGGATCTCCTGACGCAATCTGTTTTTCAGTAGACAAACCTGGAATAGTTGTAGTTGGTTTCTCTGTCTATGGAGGAGGTGGAATTCATGAATATGAATTAGAAGTATTGGTTGATGATGTAAGTAACATATTAGTGTGTGGTCCTTAGAGAGTTATGCTGCTATTCCAAAGCCCAAACCTCTCAGATGGTTCAAATCTACCAATTTCTCCAAGGGAGAAAAAAGAGCAGTCTACTCCTATATAATTTATAGAGTTCCAGAAATCCAGAGGAGGGTCAACTGTGAGTCAGTTCTGAATTGATGCATTGAGAGAGTATGTTAGAGGCCAACTTTTCAAGATTTAGCAGATTAATAATAGATTAAAGAAATTTGAAGATAATGGTATACCTGATTGTTTGTGTGTAATTTTGGATAATTCCTTATTCCTATTTGCATTTTCAGGAAAAATTTGAAATTGTATCAAAAACTAGCAATTAAAAAGCTAAACTTCTCATTATAACTCTTGTTTGGCTGTTGCTATTCTTAACAAAAAAATAAGAACAGTGCTAAGACTGGTCCTACTATTTTTATCACTATTTAAGCATTTTAGTGAAAGTGCTAATAAATGATTTTTAATAAAGGATAAATTATGAGAAAAGCATGCATCCTGGATCACTAACGTTTCTCCATACCTGTTTAATCTCTATGCTGAGAAAATAATTTGAGAAACTGGACTATTATACAGGAGAACGTAGCAGCATTAACGGCCTATGCTATGTAGATGATACTGCCTTGCTTACAGAAAGTGAAAAGTGAAAGCATTTACTGAAGAAGGTAACCCCTCAACATCGAGAAAACAAAATATCCTCACAGTGTCACGAAAAGGCAACATCATGATAGATGGAGAAAAGATTGACATTGTCAACAGTTTCATTTTCCTTTGATCCATGATTAATACCCGTGGTAGCAGCAGTCAAGAACCCAAAAGACGTGTTTCACAAGGCAAATTTTCTGTCAAGGACCTCTTTATAGAACTAAAAAAAGGGTATCAGTTTAAAGATTAAGGTATGCCTGGCCCAAGCTATGATATTTCAGTTGCTTCATGAGCATATGAAAATTGGTTAGTGAATAAGGAAGACTGAAGAACTGATGCCTTTGACTTTTTTTGGAGGAGTACTTTACCATGGACTGCTAAAAGAACAAGCAAACCTATCTTAGAGGAAGTACAACTGATGTGCAAAAACAGTGAAACTTACTGGGGCATGTTGTTAGGAGAAGCCAGTTCTTGGAAAAGTAGTGGGTCAGCAAGAGAGAGAAGGATCCTCAGTGAGATCAGCTGACACCATGACTGCATCTGCGGGCTTGAGTTGTGGGGTTCACTATGACGCTGCAGGTCAGGGCACGGTTTCTGTCCTTTTTTCTAGGGTCATATAAGTCTTAGTTGACTTGACACCACCTAACAACGTGAAAAACAACAAGGACAATAGTGACTGGTTAGCTGTTGTTTGCTTTGGTCTCTGACTTGTTTCAAGTACTTGCATTTTCACAAGGGTTTTAAAAAAAATGAAAGCAAAATGTTGTTATTTAATTTCCTAATGAATTTAAATCTATATATAAATCTATATAAGGCTGTTTTGAGCAATCAACTTGAATGGCACATTTCTTTAGTTTCATTAATTAGATACAGCATTCTTTTTATGAGTAAGTTGGAATACTTTTAAGAAAAAGTGAGAAAGCTCATTTCTATAATTGTGTTTGTTGGCTCTTTAGAAATCAGATAGATACAAGTGAATGACTTAGAGTTACAACTTTGGTACAAGATTGGACAGTGTTTTATTCACTTGTACAGAGAGGATCATTATTAGTCCCCACTGACTTGGCAACAATTAAAACATATTTTATGTGCAAGGAAATAAAACATGGAGAAATTTAAGACTGTGTTCAATGTGTTAACTGATAGAATGGTAAACTGTAGAGTGGTAAAGAATATATAATTTCTCTCAAAGGCTAGAAATTGCATCTGTAGATGTTAAGGGTCCTTACAAATTTTCTGATAGTCCAAGTAGTGCAGAAGTTAAAGCACTCAGCTCTCAAACACATGGTCAGCAGTTCAGACACACTGGCCACTGTACAAGAGAAAGATATGACAGTTCAAGCCTGTGGCACTTCTACTCTGTCCTATAGGGTCACTGAGTTGGTATCAACTCACTGACAGTGAGGAGTGAGTTTTACAAATTAAACTTAGAAGTATATTATGACTAAAGTTTGGGATTTTCATAAAACCACTATACGTAATACTTTAAAGACAGCTTCATAGTATGATGCTATAGGTATTCTGTAGACCTCTTTTAAAATAAAATTAAAATTAATTATTAATCAAAATACAATAGAAGTATGATACAGTGGATTTTGTTTGATTTTGTTTTAGAGTGAGCATGCAGGAGATTCAACACATTCTCACAGATGGACTTCTCTGGAATTAGTCAAAGGAACCTATACAACAGATGATTCACCCAGTGATATAGCTGAAATCAGACTTGACAAGGTTGTTCCTTTAAAGGTAATTTTAAAGATATGTTTCTAATTATATAAGAAGTCCATTATTACATGTATATTTTAAAAGAGTAAAAAGTATTTCATAAAATTTGTGCTAGATATAAATACTCCTAAGTTCTCCTTTACATATGCCTCACATGTTTATTTGAATATTTTCCACTGTTCCTAATTCTGTATTGTGTTTCTACTCTGCCTTTGCATAATATTTTTCAGAGTCTGGTGCAGACCTGTGTTCTAATGCTTGGTTTTCTACATTAGCTCCAAAATACTGGATAAGTTATCATTTAATACCTTTGAGACTTATCCATAGATTGGGAAGGATGTCTGTCTGGTAGTGTTTATTCACCTTAAATTAAATGATGGAAACCAGTCATTTTGTGTCTAGCACATTATAGAAACTTAAAGTATATGTTACTCCCTGTCATCTCTTCTCATGATGTTCAAAAATTCATTTTTAAAAGCAAATATTAACTACTAAAGTTATTTTATATTACTTAAATTTATAACAAATAACTGTACCTATTCCTCACTTTCTCACTCATTATTCAATACTTAAAATAGTAATAAAAAATATCTGCTGTTGAACTATTGTGTATTAATAATGTTTATCTGGCAGTAATGAACACAAAGATGTGAGGTGAGATTAACACTGACTGTGATGATTAAGGTTTTGAGTCAGTTTGGCTGGGTCTTTATTCTCCTTGGTTTAGCAGTTATGAAATGTTATTAAGTTGTGTAATGTTGTATTCAACCTCCCTTTTCACATCTTCCCAATTTTTGTTTAAAATTTTGGTCTTTGGAGTCTAGCTATACCAATAAATGAAGAGTGGACATATTTAACAAAATAGAGAAATTTTACTTAACATTAAAATAATTAGTAGAAAACTTCTGAATTCTCCTGTAATATTCCTTATAGATCTGAATTTTGGATAAGTTAAGTTCTTCACTAACTTCATAAAATATATGAAATGCTAAAATATCTACATCTTTATTAAAAAGATTGTATCATTAATTTTAAAGTAGAAGTACTCATATGTCACATTTTCTATAAATAGTACATCATATTTTGGACTAGTTGTATGTTTTTTTTCCTTTCATGTACCTGTTACCCTTATATGCCTATCAGTTTCTGCCTCTCTTCAAATAAAAACAAGTTTCTTTAAATAAAAATCGGAAGGGCTTGCCATTATTTTTCCTGGTGTTTAAAATAATTTAAAAAGTTAAACTGGCTGAAGAAAACTGCTTGCTTACTTATTTAAAATTTTTTATTATGGAAAATACCTTAACAGTGTGATTACAAGCAAGAATTAGATTCACATTATCTTTATTCAAATTCCAACTCTTATCAATTAGCGATGTGACCTAAGACAGGTTATAACTTCTCTGTGTCTCATAGTCTTCATCAGTAAAATAGGCCTAATGATATCTCATGAGGTCATTTAAAAATTAACATGTAAAATAAATCATGTGAGGTACTCAGAAAAGTTTCTGTCACAAAAAAATATTCAGTAAATGTTAGCTGTGAATATTATGAATTCATTTAAAGTTCATTCAATTATACTGTCTTTAAATATGCTAAGGAATATATTTACCTAGTTTAGTATTAGAGTATTGTCTGTATAGCCTTTGTATATGAAATATAAACATGTTTTTCATCTTTATTATGAAGGAAAATGTTAAATACGCTGTACGCTTGAGGAACTATGGAAGCCGTACAGCGAATGGGGATGGAGGAATGACCACAGTTCAGTGCCCTGATGGTGTCACATTTACATTCAGTACATGCAGCTTGAGTAGTAATGGCACAAACCAAACCAGAGGACAAATTCCACAGATACTGTACTATAGGTAGGTGTTGTGTATATAGAGATAAAGAGAGTGTTTTAAAATAGGACAGGGACAGTTTACTATCAGCATTAAAAAAAAACACACACAAAAAAGCAAAAAACCACTAAGTGGGTAGTTAGAATTAAATGATTAATTTTTTGTGTGTATTATCAAGGCAATTCTAAACAGATACCAACCAAATGTGACAGAGTAGAACTGCAGTAGGAGTTTTACCTCTGCTGGGTGTGGTCTCTATAGAATCAGATCTCTGGTTCTTTACTGCTGGAGAGCACATGGTGGGTTCAGAACACTAGCCTTTTGGCTGGTACTCCAGCATGTGCACATTGTGCTACCAGGCCTCTTGTAATTAAATTATGCAAGGCAATTTTTTTCTTGCACTTGGTGCTAATTCATATAAAGAAGTCACACTTTAATCTTTCAATTCAGTATTTCCTATAAAGGTGAATCCTTTAAATATTTTTTTTCTTTGTCATTATTCTTGATAGTTTTGTTGGGCCTATGTGTTTTTTCTATCACCTTCTAATATTTTTCAAATTTAAATGCAGAGTGTTCAGGTCTAGTTTTCTAAAACACCTGAAATTAGTGATCAGATTTATTCTCCCCAGATAGTGGTGTGGCTTTGTTGTACTCATTATCCAGCCTGTATTTTATTTCATGTTTGTGAATCTTAGACTGATCGAGATAACCCCTGGATGCCAAATATGTATAATGATGTATTTCTTATACTATTTAAAAAAAAAAAAAAACCACAAACCATTCCTTATGTAAACAGTTGTTTGTTGTTTTTATTGTGTACCAAAGAATTGAAACAGACCCAAAGCTGACCATCCAGTGGGTTTTCAGAGCCAGTTAATCATATGGGAGGAGATTGCTCATCCTCCCTTGGAGCAGCTGGTGGCCTCAAACCATGTGCCTTTGGAATTACAGAGCAGCTTCTTGCCACTAGGCCACCAGAGCTCCCTTATGTAAACAGTAAATGATAATAAAAGATTATAAGTAACCACCTTTGCTTACTTATTGCCATGGTGTCCGAACGGAATCATAGCTGACTCTCTACACATTTTTGTAAGACTGTAACTTACGGGAGAGGTGCTTGTTCATGAGGCACTTTGTCCCATGGCGCTTCTGTTCGATTAGACCCACCAGAGGTACCACCATTGGGTCAGCAGTGGAACTTCTACAGATTGTTCCACCAGAGCTCCCTGTGTCCCACCTTACTTTAAAACACCAAATAGGATGTACATTTCTCATTGATTTGAATTCTGTTAGCTGGAGTCTTGGGCAATAGTACATACCATTTGCCACATTCATTCTCGAGTTTCAGTGTCCCTTTGAGAGGTTTGCTCTTTGTCCAAGTGCAGGCAGTTAGCACAAAACATTTTCCTTCATGCAGATGGTCTCCCTCCTTTCTCCTTGTCAAACAGAATAGAAATGTTGTTATTAGGTGCCATTGTGTCTGTTCTGACTCATAAGCATCTATGTACTTATTACCTTTGTAAAATGCTCTCATGGTTATTCATGTTACAGGAGTGAATTTGATGGAGATTTGCAATCCCAACTCCTGAGTAAAGCCAACGAAGAAGATAAAAATTGTAGCAGAGCTCTCTCTGTGGTGAGCACTGTTGTTCGAGCTGCTAAAGACCTTCTGCACAGAGCTCTTGCTGTAGATGGTAAGACACTTTCTTTTTTGATAGCCTTATTCTCCATTCCATATTTACTAATTTATACAGCTATTAAAGTGCATCATCTCAGATCCTGAAGTATTTTATTCATTGCAGACCATTCACTTTTGTTTTGGATGGTTATACTCTTCATACTGCAATGCAGAAATTTTTTAGAAATACATAAAAGTGATTTTCTGAGTTAACTAACTTATAAGAGAAAAAGTAAATTATGCTATAGCTTTGCTTTATCCTCTATTTGATGAAGAAAATTTTCTTTCTGCTCTAGACCTGTATTTACTCATGTATGTCCTCATACAGGGCTAGGTAACTTTAAAGATCTCTTGGAAAATCATTTGTCTAAATTTAGTGTTGTGAGTTCTTCCATTAGAAAATCTCCAGTTTGTAGTGTCCCTTTATCTGTACTCACAGGGTTATATGGTTAAAGAGAATATTCTCATTTCCATAGTTATGGAACATTCTAATTAATCTCGCTGTGCATCTTGCTAAAAAGTCATCTGCAATACTAACATAGTAGTCATCTTTTATAAGCCATCATTGTACCTCCCCTCCTAATTTGGGAATATTTGTAAAGATTTTTACATTCTATATTCAACTTTTCTCTCTGTCACTGTAATCATGGATAAGTGACTAAAATGTCCAACATTTACTTTCCTTAGGCAAAAATGCAGCAGGCAGTATAGCATAATAAACATCAAACATATTTGGAGTGTTTAATGTGTGCATGAACCTTCCTGAGTACTTTGCATGCATTAACTTACTTACACTCTTTTTTTTTTTTGTAACATTAAGTACAAATCCTTCAATGTAACAGCACTTTCCCACTTCCTTTCTGAGTTCCTGTTTCCATTAGTTCATCTTTCCTGCCTTCTGAACTTTGTTTTGGGGCAGACAGTACCCTTCTGGTCCCATATGGTTGACTCCTGTAAAGAACACATCCCTCATGGGTGTTACTGTTCACTTTATAGGCCTTTCCATTCTTTGACTGAAAAGTGCTTTCTAAGAATGTGTTTGAAAGGTGTGTAGGGTTATGTCCAGTCTTTTTTTATGATTTATATTTTGTTCCGTATAATTGTGTAAAGTGTCTTCTTTTTTATTTCCCATCAGAGTGGTTAGTAGTGGTGGTGAGCATCATCTAGTCCTTTGGTTCTCAGGCCAGTGGAGGCTGTGGTTCATTTTGAACCACATATTTCTTTGAGTCTTTGACTTTACACACTCTTCCTTGCTGTAAATGGAAAGAGACCAAGAATTATTTATTAGATACTCATGTACAAGATTCGAGTCATTACTTACCAAAGTAAGATGTAAAACCCTGTCTGTGTTATGCCAGTGACTTAGATGTCCCCAAGACTGATCTAAGCTTTCACGCTCAAAGGCTTAGTCCTTTAAGGTGTTACCTATAGTTAAGATGTTTGTTTAACTGGGCCCCCCACCAATCTGCTCTCCTGTCTATTTATATACATATAAATATCCTCTGCTCAACTTCTGTATTCTCATGAGTGTGCCTCCGCACATATACACCTTATATCTCACAGCTTCCATATATGCCATGAAGCTACTTGTAAATTATTGTAACTACTGAAACTGCAGGAATATATGTAAAAAGTATTTAATGTGTAGCCCTTTACTCTGAGTTACATTCCAGTGTCTTCCTGTGTTATATCTAACTATAATTTTAATTCTTTTTTAAGCTGATGACATTCCAGAACTACTTAGCTCGTCCAGTCTGTTTTCCATGCTGCTTCCTCTTATTATAGCCTACATAGGACCAGTAGCTGCTGCTATTCCTAGGGTATGTAATTTTGTTCTATCATTTTGGATATTTTCCTATATTTTCTTATTCATTTTATTTTATATGTAGCTTTTCTTTTTAAAAAAACCCAACAACTTGAATATTTGAGAAGTCTGGTTTATGAATAACAAGCAGAAGTAAATAGTAAATAGAAGTTTGGTTGAGCCTCTCAATCTTAATCTTGCCTACTCTTAATACCATGCTTATTTAATGGCTCTGTACTTTCAGAATTATGACATATAAGGCAAGATTAACTGAGAGTATTTTCTGATACTGATGCTAAATATAATAATAGCAGTGTAACAGAATAGAAAAGTATCAAAATAGTAAAAATTCTGCTGTATGAAATAAATCATCAATTATCAATTTTTGGAGTAATTAAATATTAAGTAAAACCTAATTTACTAAAGATCACAAAAAGATAAATGTTTGAAAAGAAAACAGTTAAACACTCTACTACTAAAAAAGGCTGGAGGCTACCCAGAGACTTCTTTGAACTCTTGTTCAATAATAATAACAATCTCCAAAAGGTTGCAGCTTTGAACACCTCCAGAGCATAGCTCTGCTCTGCTCTGCAACTCAGGAGTCATTGTGAGTAGGAATTGACTTGATAGCTACTCTGGTTATTTTTATATGGCTTCTAATACATTAAGGTAAATATTACAATTCCATAAAGGACTTAGCTAGGTGAAAATTGTCCTTAATAAATGTAATCAGAGAATGGGTGAGGGTGGGGTAGGATGTGAAGGAAGAATATGGCAGTTGCCCCACCACCACCACCCCCAAGCTTGATCACTTCTGGGAAACATAATAACATCTAAACTGGTCATATCAAAGACCAACCCAGACAATGAATCCTGATAAGGGTCTGAGTCTGATCAAAATAGCTAAAACCTAACTTAACACACCAGATTCCAAGAAATACCATCTTAGTCATCCTCAGGACCCCTATAAGAAGGAACCACCCCAAACTGCCCACACACCACTTCGATCCTGTCCGCATACTGTGCAGCCAGGTCACTTGGAGTCCCTCTCAGACCACGTAATAAAGGCCTGTTCAGTTCTTGGTACCAATTTCTTTCTTGGTTTCTCTCCCTCTCGCCCTTGCACTCTTTTTTTCTATCTAACAGGATGTGAGTGTTAGTCATAGGGTTGCACAATTTGATGGGTGGAGGGATGGGTGGGTAAAGGAAATGGGAAAGATCTAGTGTGAAAACATGTATACAAACTTTGTAAGTAATCCAGCATAAAAGTTTTATTTAAAAAAAGATGAACCGAGAGTTCAGTGCATGCTTTGGACCTAGAATCCCACACTGACCACATCCCCAAACCAGGAGAGGGAGGACTGTAACACTAGAGAAGTCACAAAGAAGCAGCATTAGAGATAGCTTGGTACAGTATAGAGCTCTGGACTCCAGGTCACAGAATGAGGAAGCTGAGTGCCTTTGGAGCAAGAATTTTTTGGGGAGCTAGGTTTGTGGACCCACAGAGGTAGAAATGAGCCCCTTTGACTTAGCCTTGCTTAGCAGAATGAGCTGCTTTGGAGAGCACTTAAAATAGCATAGCTAGAAGAGCCAAAGCAGGGCAGAAGCAAAGACCATGAAGTCAAGGGCCAAAAAGAAGCCTCCCTGTGAGGACAGCTGAGGAAAGAGTTTGTCTTGTTAATAACTGTATCATGAGTTGTTGATTCTGAATTATAAACTTATTTCCCAAATTCCATAACCATGAAAAAAATAAATGTAATCAGAAATTATAATGGTTCATAATTTTCAAACTGTCTCCACATTTATCATCTCATCTAATCATTTATACAAAAATGTCTCCGTAATTATTAGGTGGCTGTCGAAGTCTTTGGCCTTGTTCAACAACTGCTGCCTTCCGTTGCCATTTTGAATCAGAAGTACGCACCCCCTGCTTTCAATCCTAATCAGTCCACAGACAGCACCACTGGAAACCAGCCCGAGCAGGGCCTCTCTGCCTGTACAACGTCTAACCACTATGCTGTCATAGAAAGTGAGCACCCGTACAAACCTGCATGTGTTATGCATTACAAGGTAGGCACTCATTTTCAGTAAGAATCTAAAGCTGGATTTTGAGTTTTAATATCATAATGAATATTTTCTATGTTTTAACAAGTATTCTTTTATGTTGTTGTTGTTGCTGTGTACCATCAACATGGAACGAACTAATAGCTGAGCCTGCAGCAGGCTTTCAGAGGCAGAAAATTGCAAGGGATGAGATTGCTCATCATTTACCCATGGAGCAGCTGGTAGATTTGAAGCACATTCCTTTGGGTTGGAAGCATAACTCCTTACCACTAGGCCACCACAGCTCCCTGACTTACTGGGTTGTTTTCTTTTCTTTATTGTTAGTTAAGGGAGCATTTACAGAAAGGTTGCATTTTCATTGAGTCATTGATAGACATATTTTTCCCCTCCCTCCACCTTCCCCCGTTCACTATGTAGTACATGCCTTGTTCCAAATTGTGGTGCATATAATGTCAATCATCCATTCCTTTCAAATAGTCCTTCCCTTCTTGAATAGTTTTTTGAATATAGAAGAGCAGCAAGTAACTAAGCTCTCTCCGGTATATAAAAATAAAAGGCATTTAAGACACATTGTTCAGTCTTTAAAAAAAATGTTTTGTAACTTTGGTGAAAGTTTGCAGAGCAAATTGCTTTTCCATTCAACAGATCAATCATATTTTGATTTGTAAAATTTGAGTGGAATCTCCACAGCGTTCGTGGTACTCTTGCCATTTCTGCCCTGTGTTTATTCTTCTTAACAAGTATTTGTGTGCTCTGACCTGTTGCCCCAGGTAACATTCCCAGAATGTGTGAGGTGGATGACAATCGAGTTTGACCCGCAGTGTGGAACTGCTCAATCAGAAGATGTCCTCCGCTTGTTGATTCCTGTCAGAACTCTTCAGAACTCAGTATATGGACCAAAATTGTCATCTGTTCATGAAAATCTTAATTCATGGATAGAATTAAAGAAATTTTCAGGATCTTCTGGATGGCCTACTATGGTTTTAGTGCTGCCAGGTGAGGGTTTTTCCATTTTCAACTTCATATAGTAAAACACATGCATTTATGATGATGTATATTCAATAAGGATACATTTCTGAACATTTTCTTATTGTTTTAGAAGAATGTATTGAGGGTCAGTAGTGTCTGGATTGCCATTGAGGAGAAAGAGAATGTTCTGGACAAGAGGCACAGCATAAACAAAATTTTGAGAACTTTGTGAAAAAGAGATTAGCCCAGCTAAAAGCGAAAGAAGAGAGTTAGTATAGAGGAGAGTCTATCTCTGTAGTGGGGTCTAACTACAAACAAAGATATTTTATTTTCTCATTAAATACTAAATTCTAAGAAGCTACTAAGGACTTCTAGCATTCAGAGATTGCTGAACAGTTACATCCATGCTACTGAATTTTCCATCTTCTTGTGGATGTGGTTGAGGGGATGAGTGTGCGCTCATCCACAGACAAAGAAAGTGTTAGAAAACTGTGTCCGGTCTGTGGGAATTTTATCCACTGAGCCATAGCTGCGTGTGGGAGCTCTCAAACCAGTAACCATTTTTATTTCAACAACTTTTTCCTTCTGGTCTGAACTGCTTTTTTAAATAGATTCTTTTACACTATCAAAAATGAGGAAGCTGGCTGTAATAATAAAAAATACCTGTTATAGAAATGATAGACATGTTTATTGTTTATTATGTTCTTACCTACCTACTTATTTAGGTAAGGATCAGAAAGAACCAAATGCCATAAATTACACAGTTTGAAACAAAGAGGCAAAATAAGTGACAGATAATTGAACAATGATTCCCTGTATGATTTAAAAATTGGGGAGGCGGGGGAATAATTGTAACAATGCACTTAAGCTATTCCTGATGTGTTCTGTGTTGATTTTTAACAAAATTTCCATCAAGTCAAATAAAATCCGTTATCATCAAGTAGATTCTGACTAATAATGACAGCCTGAGAAGACTGCCCCATTTGGTTTCCCAGACCATAATCTTCACCAAAGCGGACTGCCATGTCTCTCTCCTGTTTTCCCAGAGGAACTGATGGATTTGAACTCTTCACCTTGAGATTAGCAGTCAAGCTCTTCATCTGCCAGGTTTCCCTCTAGTTAGATATAGAAACTAAGGGATTTTTTTAGAAAAAAGAAAGAAACTAATTTAGACTATTTGGTATCTAATTTTGATCATTACTATGTTGTAATGGATAAAGAAAAAATTCTAATATATACATTTCATATTTTTAACTCAATCCTAGCTTTTTTTATTCTTAGGAAATGAGGCCCTTTTTTCTCTGGAGACAGCCTCAGATTATGTGAAAGATGACAAAGCTTCTTTTTATGGTTTCAAGTGTTTTGCAATTGGATATGAATTTAGCCCTGGACCTGATGAGGTAAGAACAACATACCTTTTAATTCTGTTAAAGAAGATTCTGTTTCTAAGGACAGGGCTGCTTTGACTTAATTTTTATTTGTTGCTTATGTGTCAAAGGGCTGAAAATTGAGGTAAGTTATACATAATTTAAACGATTCTCTAGTTAAATTGTAATTGTGATCTTTCAAAACTTTAAAACTTTGAGAGTAAATTTTATGCAGCATTACCCAGCTTTTGATGACTTGGTATAATTTCAACCTACCCCAGATCTGATCAGGTGGCTGTACCTTTCTGAATAAGTAAATTCTAAAACTACATTTCATAGACACTAATTTACTGTCACTTTCAAATGCCAGAATCATACACTAAAATAAAATCAAGAATAAACTTGATCATGTTTCTTCAGAGTAATAAAAGAAAAATTTACTGGACAATGAACACTAGAGGCCCAAACTTAAAACAAACTTGAGCTGTAAGGCTGAATTTCTTCAAGTCTTATTAATTAATGGATGCTTCATTCTAGGTTCAAAATCAGTGCCTTGAATACAACTCACAATTTGTTGGTAACACACATCATCTTCTAAATGTGTTTTAAAACATTTACTTTGTTTCTTTTTCACTTCTATAGGGAGTCATTCAGTTGGAAAAAGAATTAGCCAATCTTGGGGGGGTTTGTGCTGCAGCTTTGATGAAAAAGGACCTTGCACTTCCTGTTGGTAAGTCTGGCCAATTACTAGGTATTTACTTTGTAATCTTCTTTTAACAGTAGTATATATGTTCAATGGGAAAAGTTCTGAAACTAGATTATAATCATATTCTGTAATGACATACACTATTGGACAAAATAGCTTAATATGCTGTTAGTTTGGGATTTAATAGAGACATATTTACTGCACACACATCCAATGCACAGCCTTCTTTGTCCAAGTACATATGCTGAGAATGGAAGTAAAACTGAATTTATGGAATTAACTCAAAAGTGTGGGCTACTTTTTAGATAATCTAGTAGAGCTATTTTTTTTAGTAGAGCTATTAAGTAGGGAATTGTGTGTGTTCGTTTCCTGAGATGAAAAAAACAAGTCAATAGAAATGTTATTTGAACCAAGTTGTTTAAAGACTTGTAAGAATGGTGAAGTAGAAAGACACTGAGATAGGGAAGATTACCTGGACACAAAGCTGGGACTTGTCAAGATTTTAAAGTTCAACATAGTAGGAATAAGCCAATACTAAAACTAAACCCACTTCTTTCATGTTGATTCCAAACCCTCAAGTGGGTTTCTAAAATTGTAAATCTTCATTGGAGCAAACTGCTTTCTCTCTCTGTATCTCTGTCTCTCTCTGTCTCTCTTTGTGCGTTTCTCTCTCTCTCTCTTTCTCTCTGGCATTCAAACTACCAGTCTTTTGCTCAAAAGTTTCATATGTACCACGTTACAACCCAGGACTCTTTACAGCTCGAGTGCTGTTTGTTGTCGTTGTGTGTCACCGAGTTAGAACTGATCCATAGCCAACCTTCCAGTGAGTTTTTAGAGGCAGTTAATCACACAGGAGGAAATTGCCCATCCTTCTCTTGGGGAGCTGCTGGTGGGTTCAAACCATATGCCTTTGGGATTTCAGGGCAGCTTCTTACTACTATTGCAAATAAGACAGTTAAGAAGCAATCAGGTAGGAGAAAAAAGTATGCTTGCAGAACTTTTTTGCGTGCTTTGTGGAAGTCAACAAAAATCTATCCTTGGATTTTAAAACCTGCTGGTTACTTATATAATCTATAAAAAGATTCTAGTAAAATTAATAGAAATGTGAAAGTTTTAAGTAGATTTAAAGAGGTTGATTTGAAGAAGTGCTGTCAGGTTATATATAGTTCTTTATAGAAAATGTTCTAGTTAAACAGAACATGATGTGAATTTGTATGGTTTAAAGATTGTGATAAAAAAGAAATTGTGATCAAGAAAATAAATATAAAAATAAAGGTGACAATGCTTATGGAATCTTTAATATTTATACACTAGATCACATTTGTTTCACAAGATTTGCAAAGAAAAGGTATGACTTGATGTCCGCACTCTCACACCATCAAGCCTACTTCTGCCTCTCTCTGAGACAGCTCTTCTCACGTTCTTCCTTTTCTTTCTCTACCCTCTTCTCCTTTCTCTCTTCCTCTTCCTGGTCTCTTCTCTGCTGTTCCCTTGCTCCTACTTCATGTTAGTGCAAGAATGAGGAAATGAGATCTCTTGTAGTCATGTGGTGAAAGTTGGTTCAGCCTTTTAGAAGAAAGGTTGTCAAAGCTGTTAAAATATTATATCCACGTACTTGAACAAGAAGGTTTTCTACATAACAAATAAGCAATATCTTTAAGGATGTGAGTAGAGAACCCTGAGAGTTTTGCAAAAATGAAGGACAAATATGGTTAATATTGTAAGATATATAACCCTCCCACAGTAGTAATAACTTACTATGGCTTCTGAGTAAGTACTTACGTACATGTGTGTGCTGAATGAAGGTGAGGAAAGCTGTGTGCAACCACAGCCATATATGTATATATGAGTAATCATGATTTCTACATACATATTTGTAAGTGCTGAACTTTGACAAATGTTGATAGTTGTAGAAGGGCTTCAGGCCTTTTTTGTTAATAGGGTCACTATGAGTCGTGCTCAACTCGACAGCAATCAACAACAAGAACATATATAGAATAAAAGGAGAACATGGTTTTGGTGATAGAAATGAAGCTGGAATAGAATGGTAGAATTTTGCACAATCAACGATTTATTCATTGCAAGTGTGTTTTATAAGAAGCATAAACGCAGGCTATACACAAGGATTTCACTTGATGGTATACATAGGAATCAAATCGATTTACATCTGTAGAAAGAACCGCTGGAGAAGCTCAATATCAGCTGTGAAAATGAGACCAGATGCTGATTGTGGAACAGACCACAATCTGCTCATGTGCAAGTTTAGGCTGAAGCTAAGGAAAACGAAATCAAATCCATGGGAACCAAAATTGGACCTTGAGTCTCTCTCACCTGAATTTCAGAACCATCTCAGCAAGAGGTTTGAACACTAATGACCAAAGATCAGATGAACTGTGAGAAAATATCAAGAAAATCTTCCAGGAAGAATGCAAGAGTTATTACAAAGACAGAGGAAGAAGAAAAAATCAAGATGGATGTCAGAAGAGACTCTGAATATTGCACGAGAGCACCGAGAAATCAAAATAAAGGCAAGAAATTAAGATATTAAGGAACTGAACAGAAGATTTCAAGGGACAACACAGGAAGACAAAGCAAAATATAGTGAAATGTGCAAAGTGCTGGAGTCAGAAAATCAGAGTGGCTGAACTCAGCATTTTTTTTTTTTTTGTTAATGAAAGTTTACAGAGACTTTGGATTTCCATTCATTCATTGCCAGCATTTCTTAAGCTGAAGAAACTGAAGAACAAACTCAGCCTCGAGTTGTAATACTTAAGGATACTTTGGGCAGGATATTAAATGATCCAGGAAACATTAAAAGAATATGGAAACAGTATACAGAGTCTTTGTAACAAAAGGAATTGACGGACACAATTTCATAAAACAACATATGAGCAAGAGTCTGTGGTGGTGAAGGAAGAATCTGAAGCTGCTCTGAGAGAATTGGCAAAAAAACAAGGCCCCAGGAATTGACAGTATACCAACTGACATATTTCAGCAAACAGACGCTGCCCTGGATGTGCCCAACAAATTGTGCCAAGAAATCTGGAGGACAGTCACCTGGCCAACTTGACTGAAGGAGATCTATATTTGTTCCCATTCCAAAGAATGGTAACCGTACAGAGTGCAGAAATTATCAAACATCATTAATATCACATGCAAGCAAGATTCTGCTGAAAATTATCCAAAAATGACTAGAACAGCACATCAGCAGAAAAATGCAGACTGGCTTTAGAAGAGGACATGGTACTAGGGATATAATAGCTAACATTAGCTGGATCTTGGCTGAAAGCCAGGAGTACCAGAGAAATGTCTTCTGTGTTTCATTGACTATGCATTGGCTAACTCTAAGAAAAATGGGACTCCCAGAACATTTGATCATGCTTATGTGAAACCTGCACTTGGACCAGGAGGCAGTTTTCAAAACAGAGCAAGGAAACACTGCATGGTTCAAAATTGGCAAGGGTTTATGTTAACAATGTGTCTTATCTCCATACCTTTTCAATATGTGCAAAACGGATTATCCAGGAGCCCAGGCTCTATAAGCAGAGATGTGGCATCAGTATTGGAGGAAGACTCATCAACAACCTGTATTATGCAGATGATACAACCCTGCTTGCTGAAACTGAGGAGGACCTGAAGCTCTTCCTGCAAATGGTCGAGGACTGCATCCTTCAATGTGGATTGAAGCTCAACATCAAGAAAACAAAGATTATTACCCCTCAGCCAATTGGCAACATCATAATAGATGGTGAAGAGATTGAGATTGTTAACAGTTTTAGTTTGCTTGGCTCCACAGTCAACACTCTTGGTACCAGCAGCCAGGAAATGAAAAGATGGATTGCATTGGGAAAGTCTACTGTCAGGGACCTCTCCAAAATACTGAAGCACAATAATGTCATCTGGAAACTAAGAACTCCTGATACAGTCCATGGTCTTTGCAATTAGTTGTTATGCATCAGAAAGCTGGACTATGACTTGGGATGATAGAAGGAGAGTTGATGTCTTTGAGCTGTGGTGATGGAGAAGAGTATTGAATATGCCATGGAGTGCTAGGAGAACAAACAGATTTGTCTTAGAGAGGGTGAGACCAGGCTGCTCCTTGGAGGCAAGGATTCTGAAGCTTCGTCTGACCTACTTTGGATATGTTGCAAGAAGGGACCAGTCCTCAGAGAGGGACATCATGCTTGGAAGGGTGGAGGCATAGCACAAGAAAGGAAGCCCCTGGATGATATGGATTGATTCATTGACTGGGGTAATGTGGGTAGACAATAAGATTGGTAAAGGACAGAGCAGGGTTTAGGACTGTTGACATAGGGTCACTATGAGTCACAGGTGACTCAGGGCACATCACTATAACAACTATATCTATATATATGAAACAGAGCACATAGGGGCACAATTACTTTAACGACTTAGACATAGAGTCTGAACTACTCTACTGGAAGGCCAAGGACCATACTGTTGGGGGATATTTAAGTTACTTAGCAAAACATAACCATCTAAGCAGCAACTATTAGTTAACTTCCTGCCTGCTGCAAAGAAAAGTGAAGACAATCAAGGACTCAACGAAGTAATTTGTCCAATGAATTTGGTCCGTATGAACTAAATTCTCCTCTAAACTGAGCCTGGAAGAACCTGGCTACCTGGCTAGGTAAGGTGCCTGGCTACCTCTTTCCAGCACTCTGACAAAGGACAGTGCATAGGAGGGACTGTTTAAATAACAGTTCTTTGTCAAAATCCTGTTATAACTATTTTTTAAAGATCTTGTGCAGTATTTTGCCTGCATATGCTCTTGTTCAAATAATTTTCACATTCTATTGGATCACCTTTCTTGAGAATGGGAGTAAATATGGATCTCTTTCAGTCAGGCAGCCGTCCTCCTAATTAAATGGGTAAACATGTCCAGGGCTGCATCTTTTAGTTGAAATATGTCACTTGGTATTCCAGCAACACCTGGAGCATTATTTTTCCCATACCTTCACTGCAGCTTGAATTCAATCCTTTAATGGCATTGGCTCTTGTTCATAGCGTGTTTTGGAATTTTTTCAGTGTTGACGAGTTGATGAGTTCTTTTTGGTACAGTTACTATGTATTCCTTCCAGCTTCTTTTGATGCTGGATTAAAAATACAGAACAACATTATTATTTTTTTTTAATAAAAGGCCTTACTTTATTTACTTACTTACTAGTCTGAATGAAAATGGAGGAACACATAAGATTATTGCTTTGAGGCAGTCTTCTAATTTAAAACAGAAATACCCCCCAGTGGCCACCTTATGGCCAATTAATAGGTCTGTAAAACAAGCAGTAACCTAGGAAGAATATACTCCTTAGAAAAGTCAACTATATGAGGCCAAAAGAGCAAAATTAGACTAAAACAAAGATATGAAAGCAGGGAAAAACAAGGAAGCTAGAAGAATGAGACAGGGAGGAGGGGCAGGACCCAAGGAGTAGAGGGAGATGAGTGCCCACACATTATTGGGATTAAAAACAACCAATGTCAAAAAAGTTGTATTTGAGTTATTTGTTGGAAAATTAATTTGCTATATAAACTTTTAACTAATGCACAAAAATAAAAGTTTTTTAAAAAATATTAATTTGATAGTGTTGTGACCAAAAGCCCAAAATAAACTAAAATATCTGCGAGTTGAGATCTGGTTAAATAGATGATGGTGTATATCTGTTCTGGGGAAAAATGTGTAACTGTTTTTTTGGGGGAGGGTAGGTATATTTTGGTTTTGTTTTTAAAATACATCCTAACAAGCAAGGAAAATTTCCACATTGTCATTGAGAAAAGAAAATTGCAAAAGAAAAATTCCTTTTTGCATAACTTGTTTTATTTATGTGTGTATATTTAAAAATATAAATGTGAGTGTGCATGTTATTAGTTATTTGTGCCTTAAAGTATCTGAAAGAATGCATAAGAAAGGAGCCATAATGATTTTCTTTATGGGTGGATATGATTAAAAAGAGAATGTTATTTGTGTTGCTTTGTGCCATCAAGCTGGAACCAACTTATATCCAGCCCTCTAGTGGGTTCTCAAAGGTGATAAATCATACAGTGGGAGATTGCCCATCTTTCTCTTGCAGAGCAGCTGGTGATTCGAAACTCCTGGCTTTGGGTTGGCAGTGCAACTTCTTGTCACTAAACCACCAGAACTCCCTTAAAGAGGTAGAATAAAACATTTAAAAAATTAAATATTTCTATGCATATACTATATGCATATATTCTGGTATGCATCACTTAATGCCCATGAGATATTCTGTAAAGTAGGATAGTGGACCTGGGAACTACGCTAGCCTGTGCAAAAGGACTATGTTGAAACTTCCTCAGCTGCTGCTCTGGTGTGGCTACTCTTTTGGATGTGGCTGTATATATATGTGTGGCCTTTGTCTGAGGCATGTAGCACCCAGACCCACTGCCTGCTACCCAAGGGACAGGGCAGATGTAGGACCCAGAAAACTAGTAGCAGATAGGATCCTACAATACTTGGCAAAATACATCTGCTGCATCCCACTAAAATAATTGGCATTTCTTAACTGTCTTCTAACCTTTGTAGAACCTTGGTTTGCATAATAGTTAAAAAACTTACCTGCAAATTGAAAGGTTATGGTTTGAGCTCACCAGCTGCTCCACAGACAAGCGTGGGCACTGTGCTTCGTAAAGATTTATCATTTCAGCAAACCTGTACAGCAGGCTGTTATGGGATGGAATTGACTAAATGACAGTAAATTAAACTAAAACCAACAAACTCAAGACCACTCTTTCTAGAGTGGGTTTATATTCATGTTGAGCCTCCATCAGTTTTCTAAGGCTCTAAATATTTATGGAAAGAAATTTTCCATCTTTCTCCCATGAAGCAAATAGGGGATTCAAACTAATAATCTTTCAGTTATCAGTCCAATATATAACACACTGTGCCACGAGGGCTCAAAAGTAAGCTAGTTAGAAGTTATTATAACCTTTAAGATGACAGACATATATGCAATAACACCTGTATAGCAAGTGGTGCAGTGATTAAATGTATCTGTGAACCAAAAGTCAGTGATTTGAACCTACAAATCAAGCCCAAGGAGAATGATTTGGCAATCTGCATCCCTGATTTAGATCCAGATTTAGATCATAAGATTTCGATCTTAGATTTACAGTTTAGAAATCCCAATGGTCATTTTCCCTCCATCTTACGATGTCATTATGCATTTGAATCAACAGTAGTGGTTTGATTTTCATTTAATGTTGGGGGGGGGCGGTGTGTGTAAAAAAGAACTTTGATGCCTTAGAGAAGTGTACAGTCAAGTTACTGGAACTGACCAAGAGCTTATCCACCAGCAGGTTTTCAGAGACAGTTCAATAGCATGAAAGGAGATGGCCCATCTTTCTCCCATGAAGCAGCTGGTGAATTTGAACCATGTGCCTTCAGGATTATAACACAGTTTCTCTCTATTAGGCCACCAGAGCTCCCCAAATTACATTGCCAACGCAAAGGTACATGGTAAAAATCCACTAGCTGTTCCATAGGAGAAAAGATAGTCTGTCTCCTCTTGTGTGATTTACTGCCTTTGAAAACCTATTGAAGGATCAGCTATGGGTCAGCTCCTACTGATGGTACACTAGATATATACATATATATACATATATATATATATAAAAGAATATAGGTACATGTTTATTTTTACAAATCACATTATGGGAACTTATCATAAAATAAAAATATACTTAATAAAACTTTTCATTTGAACAATAGGTAATGAATTTGAGGAAGATCTTGAAATTCTTGAAGAGGCTGCATTACAGGTATTGTCCTAAATAATATAAAGATAAGTGTATATTACTGTAAAGACAGTTTTTCACTGAAATCAACTCTGTTTTTCTTTAACTTTAGATTTATTCCTTAAGTACTTTGTTCTCTTCATTGTCAGTTGTAGAGATCAGTAATTCGTAATGGCTCCTCCCATTGATGGGCACTATTGATGTGTGAACCATTGCAATATTGTGCTGTGGGTCTTAACTGTAGTTAGAAATAAATCCTGTGGGGGGAAAAATGAAAGAGCAACTAAATACCTAGGGTGTAGCTGCCGAGCTCTGGGCATAGAAACTGCGTCTTGCAGAGAATTTCTTTCACCAAGAAGAAAAAAGGAAGGAATCATTTTACAGAGGAAACTAGAGAGAAGTTTATGGTTGTATTATAAATGCTGGCAAAATGGCACAAGAAAAATGTGATAAATTCAAGTTCTGATATGCTTATATAACATTTGGGAAGGTAGTTAGAAGTAGTTAACAGGAGGTAGTTGAAAACCTATTCTTATTTGCTCGGTTTTGTTTTTTTAGACATCAGTAAATTAGCTACATTTGATACCAGACAATAGAAAGTATCCTTTGGGTTTATTATTTGTCTGTTTCTCATATTTTTTTTGTTCAAAATTGCTGCTAGACTACCACATGCACTCCTCACTCATCTACATGGTTAGGTGCTAAAGACCAGATCTTTGTGTGAAAATTGCCCTTTTCATGCAAATTACTTTATGAGAAAATGGAGGATGATCACATAAGATCACAATTACATATCTGCCAAATTACCTCATTATGTAACTGTGAAACTACTGAGATTTATAGTCCACGCAAGATGACATATAACCTTATACTATCAGCTTATACCCCCCATTTGGAAGTTCTTTACTGTTGAACATGTTTGCAAAATTTGCAAAAAGTCACACGTTGTTTTTGTTTGCTGTTGTGTCAGAACGGACCCAGAGCTGACCCTTGGCAGGTTTTCAGAGGCAGTGAAACGCATGGGAGGAGATTTCCCATCCTGCTCCTGAAGAGCAGCTGGTGGCCTCGAACCACTTTCCTTCGGGATTGCAGCGCAGCTTCTTTTCACTAGGCCACCAGTGCTCCCTAAAAAGCTATATAATACATTTTTTTTACTGCTGTCAAAATGTTGATTAATGAGTTAGTCAATAAGAAAGGAATAAATATATGTCTTTCCTACCTTGTTAGTCTGAATTTAATTAGCTCATAATTCTTAAGATTAATAGAAACATGATTTTCAGGCAAGACTTGTCCAATTGCAATACCTACTCACCATGGACCAGAGATTCTTAGATTCACTGCATATCATGAGAACCATCAGGAATGGGACATTTTTGCATATTGAAATAATGTGAATATAGAAGAATAGTGGAAAAGTGCTTAATTGTATCAGAGGTATCCAGATTTTAGGATTGTATAGATCTGCAAAATTATCTCTAAAATACTTTATGCAGAAGGAGCTCTGGTGGCAGGCATAATGTGTAGCATGGTGTGCTGCTGACAGGACCAAGGGCAGTGCTCTGTCAGTCAAGTCCACCAGCAGCTCCATGGGAGGAGGACGGGAAGCCTCTTCCCATTGAGACTGACGGCTGGGGAATCTGGTGGCCTGTTGCCATAAGGTGTAATCTACTTGATGTCAGTGAGTTTTTTATTAATAGTTGATTTATTTTTATTCTGATTAAAAATCCTTTCTTAAAATTTACTATTTCTTTTAGCAGTATTTTATTGCATATTAATGTCCCCCAATAGAAAGCTCGTATTCTTCAGCTCAAGGACTCATTTTTTTATGTCCTAATATTGTATAGTTTCACTCTGGACCTGGTAGTGGGAGTGGACCCACATTTGAGAAATACTGATTTGGATCCTACCTATTTGTGTGTGAGAGAGAGATAGAGAAAGAGAGTTATATGTAGCCAGTAAACTCAAACTCAGTGCAGTCAAGTCAGAACAGACTGACAGCTGATGCTCCTGCAGGTTTTCAGAGGCTGTAACTCACAGGGAAAATTGCTCACATTTCTCCTGAGGAAGAGCTGGTGGATTCAGTCCTCCAAGCACCACCTCTAGATTAGCAGAGCGTCCCTGTGTACTATACCACGAGAGCTCCTTAGGGAGCTAATGATAGGAACTTAAATAACATATGTGGAGTACTTTATGCTTAATACTATCTCCTTATTTTTATAACTATATCTTGAGAAGCTCAAATAAATTTTGTAACTTATTTAAAACTTATTTGAGTGATGAAGACTTGTATTCAGGTCTTCTAATTCCTAAGCAAGCTAGAGTTTTACACTTGACTTCCTGAAGTGAACTGATAAAAACGATACTAATAAAAACCATTTACTTGATCTTTACTTTATTAGAGCTCTGGTAGCCCAGTCAGTAGGAAGTTGCTCTGCTAACCGAAAAGCAGAACTTCCCTGGTGATTCAAATCCACCAGTAGCAAGTAGTGATCTAAACACTTGGAATATTTTAACTAATTTAACTATCACGACAGTACTAAGAATTGGACTCTTCTTTATATTTACACATAGGAAAATTGAGCCACAAAGGATTTAAATATCTTTCCCAGGATCACACAGCTGAAGTAACTGGGTTGGTATTTGAAATCTGGGGACTTGGTGACAAGGTTCATGGCCTTATCCACTGTGCTCTTGTCATAAAGTATCATGTCAGAGCTCCACTCATCCTTTTATTTTAAGAAAAGCTTCATTTTCGTTTCTTAAAATACAAACTGAAAATCAGTTCTGCAAACATTAACAGAATACTTACAGCATATCAAGTAACATTTTAATTCAGGAGACCGATCAAGGAATTGATTGATTATTCATATGAACAGAAATTATTATGATTTATAAGATGTCACTTAAACCAGATATAAAGAGATCCTTTAGAGGCTCTGCTGTTTTGTGTGTTGAGGCAGGAGGAGTCACTTAATTCCTACATTTCCTAGGGTGTAGGGTAGTTATTGTGGTGACATAGCATGTTAACCTGGTTATAGGAGTGAACCCATATTTGAGTTCTTATGGGATCATACTTAATGTTTTGAGAGCTACTTAAAGTAGTAGAGCTCAAACTGAAAAGTTTGTGGCTCCACCCCACCAACCACTCTGTGAGGCAAAAAAGGGACCATTTTCTTCTTTAGGGATTGTAAAGCTTTGGAAACACTGATACTTCTGCTCAGTGTTACAATGTCACCACGAGTCAAAACAGACTTGATGGCAATGGATTTGGGATTGGATTGGCATGGAAGACATATTACATGTCTGTTATTTAAATTTAACTTTATCATGACCGTGTAAAGAGAGAAATTATTTAAAATTCAGTTTCTACATTTTACAGTTTCAGGGAATTTTTTTTTTCATTTTTATTATTTTGTATGTGTGTACTGTCAAATTGGATCTGACTGGTACAGGAGGAGATTAGATTGTCCCTCCTTCTCCAGCAGAGCACCTGGTGGATTCAAACTGCATACCTCTGGGATTGCAATGCAGCTTCTTGCCAGTAGGCCACCAGACTTCAGCTTCAGGGAATTTTTAAGCCAGGAGCCCACTGCATGTAACTTGTACAAAGTCAGCATTGGAACTGAATACTGTTTGAGCCTAAAGATTATTTTTCAAATGGAATAATTTCTATAATCTTCACTTTCCAGTTGTATAAAGTTGATTTTACTGGAGATGTATTTTTTTCTTTATGAAACTGCTATGTATTGTAATGTAGCATATAATCATAGAAAAACATCCAGATTTTCAGCGTTTAGAGCTGATCTTTTACAAAAACTCAACCCATAAGGCTGGCTTGTGAGTTGAAAAGTAAAATACTATCTGCTTTTTCTTTACTTTAATAAGGCAAAACATACCAATGTAGTTAGGTGTAGCCAACAGTAAGCTTTTTCATACTTTGTTCCTGAGTCAAAACCTTGATACAGTTCAACCCAAAAGAGCAGAGAAGACCTACGTGTGGTAGTTGATGGGGGGTTACCATCCGGTTGCCGACAAGCCAGCTCCTGCTCATAGCCAATGGAGAGCACAGGGTAGAGCTGTTCCACTGGCCATACTGTGTACTGACGGAGACTACCACACCTTTCTCTTGTATGGTGGCTAGGGGATTCAATCTCACGTCCTTTTGATTAACAGATGAAAGAATAAAGCACTGGGCCACCAAAAACTCCTATCCATTTCTGACAATTTAGACCAAACCAGAGGCACATGGCATAGATACCCAGGCCTTGACAAATGCCAGCACAGATGGAAGGTTATGGAGGGAGGAATTGTGCCCTTTCCATTGATACAGAGATCTGAAAAGAAGCAGACTTGAAATATTTCTCAGCCCACAAACTCTCCTTTTTCTATCAGTCTGACTAATCTGACTTGTCACTTGTTTTTGTGAGAGACAATTAATTATACAGGAGTAGAAATCAATTAAAAATGTTATTCCTATTATTTTTCACCAATAAATTTTCCACTTTGTAAGCTAAAGAAAACAACACTAGGGAATTTTTCCCCAAGAATCTTCATCTGATTTTTTGTGCATATTTAAAAAATTCATGAAGATAAAGTTTTCTATTTTAAAATAGACTTTTTTCTCTCATTCAACAGGTCTGCAAAACACATTCTGGTATTCTCGGAAAAGGTTTAGCTCTTTCCCATTCACCAACTATATTAGAAGCCCTGGAAGGAAACTTACCACTTCAAATCCAAAGCAATGAACAGTCCTTTCTGGATGATTTTATTGCTTGTGTGCCGGGATCCAGTGGTGGAAGGCTTGCAAGGTAACGTACTTTTAAGTCAAAAACTGCTTGCTTGTTTATGGTGCCCACCTCAGTCTTCATTTGTTAAGAGAAATTAAAATGAAGTCAATAGAATGTTAAACTACTGCCTAAATTAAATCTATATATGTGTTTTGATCATAACAAATTATGGCTGACTCTGAGAAGAATGGGAATCCCAGAACACTTGATCGTTCTAATGCGAAACTTATACTTGGACCAGGAGGCAGTCGTCCGAACAGAGCAAGGGAACACTGCATGGTTCAAAATTGGGAAGGGTGTACGCCAGGGGTGCATCCTATCTCCATACCTTTTCAACCTATATGCAGAACAGATTATCCGGGAAGCTGGGCTCTATGAGGAGAAATGTGGGATCAAGATTGGTGGACGAATTATCAACAATCTGCGTTATGTGGATGACACAACCCTGCTTGCTGAACTGAAGAGGACCTGAAGCGCCTGCTGCAGAGTGTCAAGGACTGCAGCCTACAATATGGATTGAGGCTCAATGTCAAGAAGACAGAGATTCTCACCACTGGACCAATTGGCAGCATCAGGATGGATGGTGAAGAGATTGAAATTGTACACAGCTTTAGTTTGCGTGGCTCCACAGTCAACAGTCTTGGCACCAGCAGCCAGGAAATTACAAGGCATATTGCCATGGGAAAGTCTGCTGTTAGGGATCTCTCCAACATTCTGAAGAGCAATGGTGTCTCTCTGGAGACTAAGGTGCGTCTGATACAGGCCATGGTCTTCACAATCACTTGTTATGCATCAGAGAGTTGGACAATGACCAAGGAGGATAAAAGGAGAATTGATGCCTTTGAGCTGTGGTGCTGGAGAAGAGTATTGAGAATACCATGGACTGCTAGGAAAACAAACAGATTTGTCCTGGAAAGTGTTAAACCGGTGGCTCCTTGGAGGCAAGGATTCTGAGGCTCCGTCTAACATACTTTGGACATGTTGTGAGGAGAGACCGGTCCTTAGAGAGGGACATCATGCTTGGGAGGGTGGAGGAACGGCGCAGGAGAGGAAGGCCCTCTATGAGGTGGATTGATTCAGTGACTGCGATAATTGGGATGGGAGTGTCGGAGACAGTGCGATTGGCACAGGACAGCGGAGTTTAGGGCTGTTGTACATAGGGTTGCTATGAGTCGCAAGTGACTCGACGGCACATAACAAAAAACAACAACGTGTGTTTTGAATTCAAAGAAATATAAAATAATGCAAACATTAATGAAGTAGGTTTTTTTTTTTAAGTGAACTTGCAAGTAGGAAGGAAAATATGCAACAGTGAATGAATGAATGAAAATCTAACTTTTCCATAAACTGTAGTTAAAATCATCATAATAGAAAGATATATAAAATAATGGAAAATATAATAATTGCTAACTGATTGTTTTAACACATAATTAGGTGGACATTTTAAGAAAATGTATGGATCGTCATATGGTTGAGAGGAATAAGTATTTGACAACTATATCTAATATTTATATTAAGCTCTTAAATCTGTCCCTAAATGATTGTAGTAGTTTAGGGTTTTTTAAATCTGTAAGGGATTCTAGCATAAACTTGAGTTTTAGGAAAATCATTGCTGAGTTCTTTTTTGGAGTTTTTGTTCTGTTGTTTCTTGATTTAAAGATGAAAAGAAAATGTTTTTGGACTTGTGATTCTATTGGCCAAAAAAAAAATACAAATCTAGCTTTTTTTCTCTTTTTAGTTTTTAAAATGTACTTTACTTTTTAAAAATAAAAGTAATAATTTAATAGAAATAAAAAAATTATGTTAGACTCAATGCTATATCATGGATATTTTTATGAAATTAATGACAGACTTATCTGTCACTTACAATGTTGTTTTTGTGTACCGTAGAGTCAGAACTAACCCATAGCTGACCCTCGGGTGGGTTTTCAGAGGCAGTTAATTACATGGGAGGAGATTGCCCATACAATTTGATTATCTCTTATCAATGTATTCAGTAATAGATTTCACAAACTATAGAAAACTGGCAAAATTTATGAGGAGGAAAAACTAATGAGGAAAATAGTTGAGTTATGAACAGAGAGATAACACTACACTGTGACATTAGCTGCTCTTTGGCTAGCATGTTACCATTTCTGTCCTGGTTTGTACAGATATGCTGCTCTTTCCAAAGCTTTGAGGCTGACACATAAAAGCACACCTCACAGTGAGTTTATTTAGAGCTTCAATTGATAAATGCATTTATAATTAGTTAACAGACTAGTTACAAAAAAGGGGAAGTCAACAATGTCCCAAAAGGTTGATATACTGTCCCACTCCGTGATTTTCAACATCACTTGTTCCTCCACCATTCAGTTCCTCTGCTCCTCTATGTCCCTTGGGTTTTGTGGTTTGCTGGAGTGTCTCAATGAGACTCAAACCTGTCAGGGAATGACTCACACCGCTGTAGGAGTTGCAGGCCGGTATTGCAGAGACCGGTGAGCAATGTAGACTGTCATTTGTGGCGCAGCTTGGATGTTGTGTCCTAGGAGAATGAGCATCCAAAAAGAGAGCAAGCACTGAGTATCCGTAATATTAAATAGGCCTGTAGTAGCATGGGGCCTGTATTCCACACCAGTTATTTCTCTGTAATATAATAAATACTTCATCACAAAAAGTTAATTAGTTGCTAAGAAACTCATTCTGAGCAATAAAACACCACAATGCATACCCATTATTATTAGTTAAAGTGTCATATTTTCTGATTGTAAAATTATTTCTCTACTGCATATAAGCAAACTGAAATCACATAAGCTTTGTTATTGTTTTTTTAATGAATTGACAGCTTCCAACAGAAACATTTTGGTTGTTACCACTAAATAGAAAATGATGATTTTGTTTTACATTTTGTATGCCATTTTATTCATTTGACTCAACATATTAATCTTTATAATGTCAGTTTTGTTTTGTTTTTCTTTAAATTATTGTCAGGTGGCTTCAGCCAGATTCCTATGCTGATCCACAGAAAACATCTTTGATCCTGAATAAGGATGATATTCGTTGTGGGTGGCCTACCACCATAACTGTTCAAACAAAAGACCAGTATGGAGATGTGGTACATGTGCCCAATATGAAGGTAATTATATCTGAATTAAGTTAGTAAACTTCTGTACACTGATGAAGTACTTGCCATTTTAGAAAATTTTATTTGAGTCACTTTGATTTATCCTCTTTATGTCTAAATACATAAAGGAGATGAAAACTGGAATGCTTAAAGGACTAGTTAGTTCCCAAGCTTCTAGATTATATTTGGGGAGTATTTTTCTTTTAAAA